TAGATATAAATCTACTAGTTTAATCTAGATCTAATAGATTGTGTGTATATAGAGAGCTACTCTATCTGTATAAGACCTCCTGGGCGGTCCTCACATTTGAGCTGAGCCCCTCTTCTTCATTTTAGAACTGGATGATGCAGCAGGACTTGGTAAATTGGGCACTCTTGTTCTGGGCTGTCGGATGTGTGGAATGTTGAGTTGTTTTCTTTAATTGAAGCCTCTTGTTTAGTGTCAACAAGACCATATTATTATATTTTGGAGGAACATTCTTCTAAGTCATACAGCACTCTTCTCTCAATTTGCTGTGCTGAGCTAATCTGGATTTGTGTCATTGGGGTGTCATATGCTGTAATGATTCCCCATGGTGGACAGTGTTTGGTGGAGCTCCTAGTTTGAAGATAGGTTTGGAAGCAGGAGTGGCATCCATTTCCTAAACCACATGCCTCTGGAAACTCGATGAACTTGGAGAAATGATGATACAGAAAAGCTTCAGGTCTTTTGTTCATAGGTTCTCTATGAGTCATGCTCAACTCAACGGCAACCATCAACAACTTTATCTGTATAGTACAGTATCTGTATAGGGAGCTCTGGTAGCCTAGTGGCAAGAAGCTGTACTGCAATCCCAAAGGCATGTGGTTTGAATCCCACTGGCTGCTCTTTGGGAGAATGATTGGCAATCTCCTCCCCTGCCATTACTGCCTCTGAAAAACCACCATATGGGTCAGTTCCGATGGCACAGTGCAGAACAACATATCTATCTAGTAGAGACCCCATTTATCCATTCTGCAAATAAGAAAGATAGAAAGCAAACTTAAAGTTGTTTAAGATTTGAGTTTAAGAAGGTTGGCCTTGCCTCTTTTTGTTCAGATGTAGACTCTCAATGTATCATCTTCTCTGCATAGCAGAAATGAACTCTAATAAGGAGGACCCGTATGCTTTTCTCTTCAGCACAATGTGGTCAGTTTGGGAAATAAAATCTTCTTTCAGAAGTAAAGTTTAAAAACTTTGTTTTTATGTGCCACTAAGTTGGAATAAACGCATAGCTGGCCCTCTAGCAGGTTTTTAGAGGTAGTAAATCATATGGGAGGAGACTGCCCATCTTTCTCCTGCAGAACAGCTGGTGTATTTGAACCTCATGCCTCTGGGTTGGCAGCAAAATTCCTTACCATTAAGCCTCTAGGAAAGCAGTGTGCCAGGGATGCATCTTGTCTCCATATATTTTCAGTCTATATGCAGAACAGATCATTTGGGAAACAGGGTTTTATGAGGAGGAATGTGGCATCAGGATTGGAGGTTGTTGTTGTTGTTGTTGTTGTT